CCCCCCACAGGAAATCATGGCGCTGCACAAAACCCCACACTTTCGCCCCGTCGCATCCCCCCAAGACTTACTCACTCTCGTTCACCCAGCAACGCCTCTTTGCTCTCACGCGCACTGCGACTCTCACTTACTACGTGTCTACGTGCGTACGTGCAACCGTGGGTTATTTGGTAAAATTTCTCAGAGACAGCTGGGATAATTATTAAGCTGAATTAACATTCGTTACATACTCTCAAAAGGTAAGTTCATGGACAAACATTGTAATGAATTTTACGTCAGTCTAGTAAAAAGGTGTCCCCCTAAATCCCAGCGCTCTAATTAATACACATTTAGATCAGGTATCAGTGAAGGGTGTCAACTTTATTTCTGTAATAATTTCTAATAACCATCAATATCATTTTTAGTTGGTTTTGTTATTATTATTGAATAAGTATGTCGAGCTCTCATTCCTCGTGTTTGTCGCAAGTTTTGGGACCTTTTTCTCTCCTTGTACTGGTGAGTAAGTGCGTATTATAGCCTTGCAGATACAGCTCTGATCGTTTGCACTGAGTGAGGTCTTTGTTTAGAACTGGTTTCTGAAGAGTAATTTGAAACTGTAAGTGCTGTTGCTGCTTCCTTGTTATATGTGTATTAATGCTATATTGATATCGTTTTTTCTTCTTCTTTAGTCATTGTTTTACGCGTTTGCAACTGCATAAGGTCATATGAGCGCGCGGGACACATTGATTTATAATAAGCATTTTTAGTTTGGTATGAATTAATTTTTGAATTTTGGCCGTGTGGCGTCGAAGCCTACTCTTATTGATTTTAGGCCCACCAAAGGATCTTTAAAGTGCGCAATGATTTCTCTTGTCCAATAAGTCAAGGTGAAAGACAGCAATAAGAAGGAGCCAAGGAATAGCAGAAAAAAGGCTACCGAAAGGGTCAGGAGCCCAGAGGAAGGGTCAAGGGGAGGGGAGGAGGGAGAGGGCCAGAAAGTGGAGACGAAAGCAGACAACAGAGCATGGTGGGAGAGCAGGAAAGGAGGTGAAAGGGGAAAATTTTCCATCGCTGACAGGTTTCGAACACCGTGCCTCTTGACCACGAGAGTCCCCTTATGTGCACGAACGCTTTATAAGACTTTTCAAATGCCTCATTTAAACACCCTCTTGTTATGCTCTTATTTAAATGGATTTCTCTATCAAATATCTTTTGGAAAATAAAGAAAGTACAAGCCCTCTCGCTCTTGACTGGTTGGACATTTTTTTTCAATTGTTGTATACTTTAGGCCTACCAGTATTTTGAACCAGCGGTCTGTGGTATAGCAGCCAGGTGCTTCACCATACCCCTGAAAAGTCCTGGTTTCAATTTCAGTGTGGAGCGAATTTTAATCAAGGATCTCGATCTTTCTGCTGTGTCTTTGCATCGCTCTCAGACTGGGTTGGCTCTGACCGTCAGGGTCGAGGCTGACCTCCTATATGACCTAAAATGTATTGATGGAGACTAAAACACAACTACATTTTATGAATGGTATTCTCAGAGCATTCTTGAAGAAGTAATGTCTGTTTTAATTAGCGTTATGTGGCTTTGGTAATTTCTTTATCATAATTATGTTTTGATGAAACTCTTTTTATGGAAAAAGTCGGGGGAAAACTTTAGCTGGGCTTAACCCTATTGGCGTTTACACCTTTAGAACAGGAATACACAAACAGCGGCAGCACACCAGAACCAGTCTGCAAGCAGTTTCATTTTGGTCCGGGAGTCGACCCAGTAATCAATAACAAACATAGCCCTGATGAATTGATGGTTAATAAAAACGCAATTGTCCGTCTTAAAAATAATTGAAAACCAATAGCTCCTAGCCCTGCTGAAAGCAATACCTCGAATGTTATTAGTAATACACTTTGTTCTCATGAAATGTCCCTGAGTGACTTATGTTGTAGTAGTAGTTTTTTTTCCTTTTGTCTCTCTTGGGTATTTCGACGGATTTCTGTCTCTTGCTATAATCTGCGAGATATTTACAATTGCCCACTGTAACACGGGGCTTGGACACACTTCGCTACTTTAGAATTACTTTAGAAGTTATAACTGACATTTTTGGTCGTTTTGAGTTACTAATACCAGGAGATCGGAAACCAATTTATCTGCTATATCAAAATCGTAAGGTTATTCGGAGTCGTTATCAAGATGTTCAAAGAATTGGATTCTAAAAAGCTTCACATTTTGTGAAACTCAAATTTTATAACGTAATAGTTCTCAAAACCAGGTACTGGGTTGATAGAACTTTTTAATTCTAGGGTAGCGACTTGTTCATGTCTGTGTTAAGGAGTAACAGGTGATATCTTTATTTTTTATTGCAAGGCTAGGAGAGGGAGTGCCGCGCTATATATGGATCATATTAGTTATGAGTCGGCTGAACTTGCAATCTGCATGCATGCATAATAAACTTTCTTCAACATTTGTCTTTTCGTTACGTGAAAACTATTCATTTCTTGATGCACAATCAACCCTGTTTTAACGACCATGTTTCCTAGGCAATCATTTGTACAGAGACCACTTTCATCCACCCTACACCCCCCCCCCCCTTTCCACCTTTTGTTTTACTATACTATAATGACACAGTCCATGAGGACCACCTGTCTAAGAATGTCCGATTTTTTGTGACACGCATCAGTCTGAAATAATGTGAAGAAATAAAGTGTATAGTGGATTTTTCTTTTAAGAAATTGCTTTTGCATCATATCCTTAAATGGTTGGGGAATTTCCTGGTGTGCCTAACTGGCCTGGACTGACCTCACCTCCTGTTTTCCAGCTATATTCTTCTATCTTAGCTGGAGGTTTGCTTTTGATTTAGTAAGTGTTTTACTACGCTCGCAACTGCATAAGATCATTTTAGATTCGTAGGAATTAATTTTTAATTTAACCTGGGTGGTGGCTGACGTCAACTCTTATCAATTTTTGGACTACCAAGGAATTGTCAACGAGAGCAATTTGCACTCCAGAAATATGGGATTTTTTGCGCTTTTTCCGAGAAGGCTAAGCCTTAGATTTTACCAACCTTAAGATCACGGGTGTGGCTGGAAGTCAGCGGTAAGAAGGACTCAAGGGGTGGAAGTAGAAAGGATGCAGAAAAAATTACGAGCCCGAAGGATGGGAAAAGGGTGGGGAAGGGGGTTGGGAGATAAAAGTCGAGACAAAATCAGACGACAGAACATGGTTAGAAAGCAAGAAAGGATGTGGTAGGATAACATTTCAGAGAAGATTTTCTGTCGCTGTCAGATTTCGAACATGGGACCTATTGATTGAGAAGTGATCACCATGACCTCTACACCACGAGATTCTCGTTGTCTGGTCCACATATTTGCGCCAGGTTCCTAATCTTTTCTGTTGCCAATTGCCAATTTTCTATTACCATTAATTTAAAAACACAACCCCGATAAGCACGGCGTCCTATTTTTGGACAGATCACACGTTATTAATCACTGTGGCTCCTGGCACTGATTAGGCAAATGTATCAAAATAATTTCTGCAAAAACTGTGATTGCGAAGTAGTGATTCCTTCAAATCAAAATTGTACAGCCTTAACGCCCCAGCAACACCGTGGGGATATTAATTTAACTCCTACTATACAGAAGGCTATTCTACGTAGTTTGTGAGAAGACAAATTTATTATCCAATATTTCAGCACCACAAACTGCTATGTAACTGCTTACCTTTTTAAAATATCTATCAATAATAAACACTAAACTGAAAAAGGGTGAATGTTCCATACAAAAAACATCAGTTTCATTACAGATTGGTGTATTTGCTGGGGATTCTTAGAATTGTGATCATTATTATCAACCAGTGCCAGATCTGCGACAGAAATCGGCGATCATGGTTCTCCATTCATTCTTTTGCTCGGATGCTCTCAAAAAAAAGCTACGTTTCCCTGATCTTTCTCTGTTACCCATTTGTTTAGGTTACCCAAGTATGTTGTTCTGGGCCTTCCCCTGCCTCGCTTGCCCTCAATTTTGCCAGTGAGAGCTAGGTGTTCAAGACCCTTATGTCTATTTATGTGTCCCTATAGAATTGTGATACGTGTGTAAATAACCAAGTGGTACCTCGTGCGCCAGCTGAACTCGCGCGCTGTATAGCCTATTAAGTATTGAAACGTAAGATCTCCGAAAGAAACGTCCATCTTAGATAGGAACGAACCAAATGGAAAAGTTCGCGTAAAGTGTCTTTCACAGACACAACGTAGGGCGGAGCTGAGCCTCGAACCCCGAACCCACAGTCCCGCGATTACGAGTCCGTTGGACTACAAGACTACAGAAGCCACAATCACAATAATTTTTTCTTAAACAGTAGCTTTAATGCATTTTTGGGGAGGGGGTCTGAAGCGATTTAATTGTCTTACAGACGAACCTATGATTTGGTAGACAGACTACATACTCCGTTACTGTTTATTTTGTCCGTCTGTTTTGCCTCTCTAAACATATATTTTTGTCTATAACATTATAGTCTTTTCCCCATTTTTCTGTCTAGTAAAACATGATATTTTATAAGAGTGGGTGTGATTCCTGTCGATCGCTGTTTCGCTACATAAATACAAATTTCAAATTCTGTGTGTATTTTCTGTTGTCGGCAGATCACTATGGATAGCCTTATCGACTGTCTGGATACTGAAAAATGGCAGGAAATTCCTGAGGCTGACAAGTCAGGTGAGTCACGTCACATATGACGTAGTTGTTCAGGAACCATACTTACAGTATACCTCTTTGCTGGTATGTGTGTGGGTACGTGGGTGTGCGAGAAAGGTGCAAAAAAAGGGGGATGAGGGGGGGGAGACAGATGTTGAGAGAA